TGATGTCTTTTCCGTTTGTTGTAAGTTGACAATATTTTTCTCTGATCTCGTGTATAGTGTAATTGGATTATGAAAACGATGGGTTTGATAAGGCTTGAAGTATACTCATGCTATCTGTTATTATGATCCATTTACTATGGTTAGATTTTGAAATATATTCTAAAGCTGCTAATATAGCTGTTGCTTCCGCTGTATAAACGCTACTTTGACTTGGTAATTTCAAGCCATGGCCAATTTTTGTGTACAAATCATAAAACGCCATGGAAACATTTTTGTTATTCCTCGATCCATCGGTGTACAACTGTCTATATTCAGCCCATACATTTAACTCGTTATAAACATCATATTTACAAGAAAGATCACTATTTATTACTATATTTATTTCCTGAAATTTACTTTTGTACACACCTTTATAACAAGGCAACCTATCACTAATATATACATTATTATCATCTATAATTCTCGAAATGTTATTTACACCATTATGTAAAAAGGAATTGGTATTATATGCACTAAGTTTATTTCTAAGTAAACTATTTTCTATAGACATCACTTTTAATAAAAATTTACAATTGAGAAATTCAAAACGTATATGTAAAGGGGGCAAATTGCATTCTATCTGCATAGAATTTATTGGTGAGGTATTCATAGCACCTAAAATAATTCTTAGATTTTTATTTTGTATTTTTTCTAGTCTGTCTGTTAATTTTTTGTCAGACGCAAAACAGAAAAAAGCATATTCGAAATGACTTCTGACTAAAGTTTTATACAACAGAAGCAAAATTTTAGGATCGGCGCCCCACTGGTAACCAACAAGGGATCTTAAAACGTTGGTAGCCCTCATAGAACGGTCTATCAAACAATCGACATAAGCTTTCCACGATAGGTTTTGTTCAAAAATAACCCCTAAAAATTTTGTTGATTTCAATACGGGTAAAGTTTGACCGTTATAGAGTAATGTTAGACACGTTTACAAATCTTTTCCTAAAAACAACCACATTACTTTTACTTGTATTAACATCTAGGTTTAGGTAGCTAAAATGAGAATACAATTGTGAAAGGACATTGTTTAGTTTGGGTTCCAATGACGAAAGTTTAGAATCCTTTGCATAAATAACTAAGTCATCAGCGAACTGCAAATTCGAAATTGTAAAATCTCGCCCGAGTATTTCATTTAATCTATGAATATACAATATATACAATGAAGGGCTTAGAATTCCACCTTGACAAACTCCTTTATGGGAAAGTCGAGGGCCATGTAAATTATTATTGATTTTTACGTAAACTTGTCGTCCATTAAGAAAGCTGAATAACCATTTAACCATCTTATATGGAATACCTAATTTAAATAGTGTGGTTGACAGAACAGACAAATTAACGTTATTAAAGGCACCAACTATGTCCAGGAATATACACACCGTTATATTGTTATCTTTTAGTGCATTTTGTATGTCAGTATGAAGACATCCTATACTTTCACGGGCAGATCGACCACGTCTGAATCCAAACTGGTTGTTTGGTAGTAAATGATTACTTTCTATATAAAATTCAAGTCTGTGTTTCAATAATTGCTCGAATATTTTACCAATGCAAGAAGTTAAAGTTATAGGGCGATATGAGTCAGCACAAGCCTTGGGTTTATTTGGTTTAATGACAGGAATCAAACAATCTATCTTCCAGTTATCAGGAATTAAACTATTTTCCCAAAGGCCGTTAAATATGGCTAAGAGTTTTTTGATACTATTACAATTTAACTTTTTTAACATTTTGTATGATATAAAATCTAGGCCACAAGCTGTATCTTTTCTAAGTTTTATTGCAGCAGTTAATTCAGACAAAGTGAAAGGTGAAGTTAGGTAATCATTCGTATTATTAGTGATTTCGCAGGAATAAGAGTTCAATCGCAAATCTGAAGGAAAAGGTGCAGCTTCTACAAAATCAGGTGTGTATTTTCGTAAAAAGTCGTTTACCCAAGATGGAATTTCTTCTTCAATTTGAGGAATAAAGCTCCGGTTAAATTTACGCATAGTTTGCCAAATTTTAGATAGAGGAGATGATCTATTTATATCAGAACAGAATTCCTTGCAACTAGTAGTCCTTTCTTTTTTTAAAATGATTTTTTTCTGTGCTTGCATTTTTTTAATGTTGACATAATTTTCCTGCAATGGGTTGTTTTTAAATTTAATATAAGCTTCCTTACTATTTTGTACAGCTTTATTACACTTTTCATTCCACCAAGGGACAGCGAAATGTTTCCTTTTTCGAGAATGGGGATTAGGTTAAAACGTTTATTCCTAGAAACACCTGGATTGTCACTGTCATTGTCAACGTCAACGTGAATTCTATGATTTTGATGATTGATTTTAGGAACTGATTTATGTAAAGCTGATGTTATTTTATTACAGAAACTATTGTAAGAAAATAAAGGATCGCTAGAACAAACAGAAAGACTTTTTAAAGTTTCGTTTGCTAATTGCGTGTAATCTTCCCAATTGACTAAACGGAAGTTAACATGAGAAGGGAGTTTGTGCATTTCAAATTTTTGTGGGGTTGACATAAGATTTGTGGTGGCAGCCGTTGAAGGGTTTATACCAATATGAATATGAGTTAACGTAGGTAAGTGGTAACTTCCTAGAGGGTCATCATTAACAAACCAGTCACAGTTCAATGCTATAACAGGACTCACCATTGTGAGATCTAAACCATTTGGTCTCCAAGTGTCAGTGCCAACAGTAGTTGCTTGTGCATCATTTAATAAGACCAAGTCACAATTATCTAAACTATCTAATAAATCTCTGCCTCGAGCATCCACTGTGTGGCAACCCCAAATGGTATGGTGAGCATTGAAGTCACCATAAATATACACTGGCTTAGGTAATTCATTTATGAGGTTAGTGAACTTACTTATGTTAAATCTAGGTGTGCTATTACTTGGACAATATATAGAGACAATAGTTAATAGTTTATTGTTTATTTTAACTTGCACTGCTAGGTTTTGTATTGAATCATCAGAGTGTGTACTTAATCTATTATAATATAGTTTATTGCTAATGATGATGGCAACTCCATTGTGTTTGTTGCCACAATCATTACGTTCCACTGTATAACCTTTAATTTTGAAATGTATATGTGGTTTTAACCATGTCTCGGATATGAAAGCTATATCAATATAGTTGTCATAAATGAACTTTGTAAGCAAATGCCGATTGCATGAAAGACTTTGTGCATTCCATTGCATCAACCTTAGCTGAGTGAATTTTGATTAGATTTGCTTTTGTTGCAAAGAGTTTCAGTTAGTACTTCCAATATATTTTTTGAGGAAATTGCTGTGCTTTTAGTTTTATTTAAAGTTATTAATTTAATAATTGTTTCCATGAGTATTTCCATTGATAGTGAATTTGAATTTAAAATAGTTAATAAGTTTTGGGGATCATTGTTTTTGACATTAGTGTGAGTAGTCTTAATTTCAGGAAAATTATTATTGTTAAATATACTTGCAAATGTAGGCGGCTGATGTTTATTTCTGTTTTCTTTAATTTTCTGTTGTTTTACTGGGCATTGTGATGAAATACTAATATGATTCCCATTACAGTGGGCACAAATGGCCTTTTCTTTAGGTACTGTACACTCTTTATAGTTATGATTATTGTTACAGATTGAACACTTTTCTGCATTTTTGCAATACTTTGAAATGTGACCATACCTCAAACACCTGTAGCGTATTGTTTCACTGGTGGTATATATGTTGTGATACTATGCCTCCATCCATCCAAATCAAAGAAGTCAGGCAGATGAGAAGCAGCAAAAGTGATTGCAACTGTCTGTGTTGGCTGAAGGGAAAAACCAGAACCATCATTAAACACTTTTTTAAAGAAACGTCTTACGCTTATAATTTTTTTGAAGCTTGTAATTAATGTAAAAATTTTCTTATTGCTATATTTAGTAGAGACGTTTCTTATTATTCCGGTGATTTCTGCTGCTGAAGCTGGAATGTTTGCTTTTAAATTATTATCATGAAGAAAAGTTTTATTATTTAATAAAGCATTAGCCAAATTTGGTTTTTCAAAATAAACTCCAATTTTGTAATTATTAATTGAACGTAGATACTTTACTCCCTTCATGTATCGTCTAAGGCAATTTGACAGTGAAAGTAGATCCCTTGTGCCTATGGGTCTCTGAGTATCTGCTGACTCTACAAAGACCACATATTCTGTATTCATTGAATCTTCCTGGTATAGCCGGGTGTAGTCTGTGACGTAATACGGGACGCGAAGGCTCTCCTCCCCATCTTCATCAGAGTCTGAAGAGGTAGAGTCCACCTGGAGTCCGTCGGGGTCATCTTTATCAGGTTCAGTTTTCTTTCGCTTCTTGCCCACTTTGTTCCTCCCCATTTTAGATTACCTGTGTATTATTAAAAAATAATAACTAATTTGCTTCCTTTGTTTTGACTAGAACCTTAAAAACCGAAATTAAATATAATAAAATTTAAAATTTCCGCCTTCACACTTCGAAGGTTCCCGCGCTTTTTTCTGTTTACTTTTATTTTTGACATGTTCAACGTTTGGCTTAAAAAGGACTAGAATCAAGAGCCGTAAAACATATTAATAAAAAAAACACGTGCCATTTAAATAAAAAAAAAGGTTTTTTTTTGGCGGGATTTCATCGAGTGCGATTGGCGTCTTATTTTAATTATTCGTAAATTCGTTCATAGTGGATATTGTGAAATAAAATTGGTGTGGTTTTTTGTAACAACCGTCTGCGTAACTGAAGAATTAGTGGAATCGTTAAAATATACGCTATTCCGGTCAAGTGGACGTGAGAATTTTATTGTAGTGTTGACTACCTCACAGAAGCTTATCGAAAAAGCCAACTCGATACATTTCGTGCCAAACACTCCAAGAAACATTAGAATGCGTCACACCGATTAATTAAAGACTAGGCTGTATGGGCATTGTTCCCTTTGCCTGCCCTAAAACGGGAGAACTTCAACAAAAAAAAAAGGGGGTTTTTGGCGGGATTTCATCGAGTGCGGTTGGCGTCTTATTTTAATTATTCTTAAATTCGTTCATAGTGGATATTGTGAAATAAAATTGGTGTGGTTTTGTGTAACAACTGTCTGCGTAACTGAAGAAATAGTGGAATCATTAAAATATACGCTATTCCGGTCAAGTGGACGTGAGAATTTTACTGTAGTATTGACTACCTCACAGAAGCTTATCGAAAAAGCCAACTCGATACATTTCGTGCCAAACACTCCAAGAAACATTAGAATGCGTCACACCGACATTCTAATGTAAAAACAAAAAGAAGATAAATTTAATTAAACACTAGGCTGTATGGGCATTGTTCCCCTTGCCTTCCCTAAAACGGGAGAACTTCAACAAAAAAAAAGTGCTACAAGAAACGAAATTCTAGTCGCACTCTCAGACCAAATAAAAAGTATAGACGGAGTCTGCCGAACCAAAAAGTGAAGCCGATAAAACTACGCCTCGCCGTGTACATACACAGTTACACGCACACACATGCAACGAAACTACGCCTTGGCTTCTCAGTCGAGCTATCCCGACGCGCGGAGTGTGACGTAATAATAAATAACAATATTTATTAGAAAAAATGCCGAATTGTGTAGTGAAAACGTGTAAAAACCAATCTTCCAAGAATAAAAAACAGGATGGAATCACATTTCATACGTAAGTAAAGTTATAAACTGCTATTTTCAATTAATCAAATTTGAGGTTGTCGCTTTGTAAACAAAACCTGAACGAAATGTTGCCATGATTATTCGTTACAGTTTTACCCTTTTGTTGGGTAGCGTGAAATATAACGTAACGTTATTTTATTATATACATTGTGTGGCATACTTTTATATTATTCGAATATTGTAATGCATGGATAAACAATTACACGAAACATCTTTTTTCTTTATGTATTCGTATAAATTTTTTGGGATGTAATACACATTATTTAATATACGTTCTTTTTAAGATTTCCTAATCGAGATCAAGATCTAAAAGAGAAGTGGATTGCAGTCATTCGTAAGAGTAGAAATGCACCATTGTGGCAACCAGCTTCCCGCAGCGTGGTTTGTTCGACTCATTTTCAGAGCGACGATTTGTAAAATAATAATATATTTGTAATTTTATTTGTATTGTACTTTTTAATGGCCTTTTTGACCCAAAATTCGCGATGTTTGTGGATTTTTTTTATTATGTTCTTGTATAGGAACTTGTGATTATATTTTGTGTATTCTATAGAAAATTTCATGTGTATTTTAATAAAAGAAACTATTTATCAACGTTTGTATATGCTTTTCGTTTTATCGACATAAAGTTGAGATGACTGATTTGTAAGCGATTTCAAGTGCCTTGTTGCGAGTGCTTGAAACTATAAAATGAACAAACCTATTCCATCCGAGACTTGTAACTAAAGTAAAATAATCAATCCAACATAATTAAACGTCAACACATAAATCAAGGCACTTGGATCTCGCATTTGGTTTTATTAACACTTGCAACACGACCCTTTTTTCTGTTGCGTGTTATATTTTATAATTGTATTTGGTAAGTTATTATATACATTCATTCATATATAGTACATTCTATATGTACAAAAACCTGGATTTATAATTTACAAATTTTGAAAATACACCTCATTTTACCTATTTAAACGACTTTTTTTATCTTTCCTGAGTTTACCATAATGTAATTAAAATAAATTATAGACATGACGCATTGTGTACACACTGTTTTATTGAAAATTTTATGAAGAATCCAAATATACGTTTGTGAAGGGTATTTTTACAAAATAACAGAGAAATCGGCAGAACAATGCAATCGTTCCCACCCAGCGGGCGGGCGGTCCATAAAGAAGTCCGGCACTTGTAGGTGAGAACGGCGCATGACCTTTGGCTCACGAGAGGTTTAGAGAATAAGCTTACGATATTTTTTTCTAATATTTTATAACGTTATTAAAAATGTAATAACGTTATGAAATAACGTTATTACATTTTTCTAATATTGGGGTGTTTTATATGACTATGGTAACACTGGCTAATGCACTACATACATAAAAAACCGGCTTCACTTTTTGGTTCGGCAGACTCCGTCTTTACTTTTTATTTGGTCTGAGGTCGCACTTTAAATAAAATTGAAAATTAGTAAATCAAGTTTAAAAAAAGGAAGTGCGGCTTAAACTTAAACATGTCGTGGATTAAAGAAGATGCTGTATCATTTTTTCAACTATTTTGCATTAAAATTATAAAAACTGGACGCATACCTCAACACATAGCTTTTATCATGGATGGAAATCGGCGTTATGCAAAAAAACACCATGAAAACACTGCAGCAGGGCATTCTAAAGGATTTGATAAACTTTCTGAAACCCTTAAGGTTAGTTAATTTTTTAATATCTTTCTTCTCTGATTACGTTAGTAAAATACAGGATTTTCCGCTTGAATTAGCTAAGCATCAGTTTGGGGTATTAAGTAAAGGGTAATACTAGTAATTAAAGACGGAAAATGGTTGATACAGATATTTAGTTAACAGTAGTTATGCTTATAGTTGCCAGGGCTCAGTAGATAATAGGGTTAAGGTTGGTTAGGTCAGGAAGGTTACAGTTGCATGTTTCTTAGTTGCCTCAGCTATTTTTACAATTAGTATAGATACACACTTAAAACCCGATGGAGCAGGAATTTCCCAGTAAAACACAAATTGGGGAATTTTCAGGCTTCTATTGTGATTTGTGTTGCTAACATGTAGGGTTAATTTATTTCCTTTTTTATTAACTACCAATTCAACAAATTAAATTATTAATTTTATTTTAGTGGTGCCTTGATCTTGGAATTCCAGAAGTGACGGTGTATGCTTTCAGTATAGAAAACTTTAAAAGAAGTGAAGAGGAAGTGAATGCTCTTATGGATTTGGCACGAGAAAAGTTTCAGAGACTGCTTGATGAAATGTACATTAAATCAGTTTGGTGGACAGTTTTAACAAATCTTTTTTAGTTTTTAATTAACACTGATGTTGATTCTGACATGATTCTTGAAACCTAAACTTTAATTTGACAACACTGTGTCCTTGTCATTCTCTATACAGAATGAAAAGGAGACTGGTGTTAAATTTAAAGAAGCATGCCAGAATTGACACCACTGTTAATTTTCAGAGATACAATAAATGAATGGGGAGTTCGTATCTATGTAGCAGGCCGTTTATCATTGTTACCAGAAGATTTACAAAAAATGGTCTCTCAAGCGATGTTGGCTACTAGACACAACAATAAATTGCGACTTAATATTGCTTATGCTTATACAGGTATAAATTTTATATGTATATATATATATATATAATTAGTTATTTAAATACTCTTAAGCATTACTAAGTCAGAAAAATATTTATCACATTTTATTATTAATTTCTATTACTACTAGGACATACTATTACTTGAGGTCTATTGATAGCTTTATCTATGTGACATTTACATCAAGTTTTTTTTACACATATTCTCTTATATCTTGTGAAATTAGTAATAAAATTTTAGGAAGAGATGAAATCAGCCGAGCCGTTTCACACATAATAGATGGTGTTAAGAATAAGGAACTAATGGCAGAGGACATTGATACGGAACTTGTGTCACAGTCATTGGATATAGGCGAACCAGAGTTACTTGTAAGAACATCAGGAGAAATAAGATTATCAGATTTCATGCTTTGGCAGGTAAGATTTTACTAAGCACCCATACCTTAAGCTGAGGCAAGCAAAAGGAGGATCCATAAGGAGAGTGATTCTCTCTTCTAACTAACTAACTTCCTTCACGTTACAATACAGAGGAATAAATTTGAAAAATCTATTTAATAAGTAATGGACATACAATTAAATAAAAATATCACATGATTGTGTCATGTGATATTCTTATTTAATTGTATATCTCAGCAAGGTCACATAGTTGTAATAAACAAACCAGCCTAAAGTAGGTATTTGTCTTATTAACCAATGAATACCACATTTTCAGATATCATACTGTGTGCTGTATTTCACTGATGTTTTATGGCCTGAATTTACAATATGGAACTTGTTAGCCGCCATTATACATTTCCAGAGGAATTCTCCTGTAAATAAATATGAACATTCCAATAATGTAAACAAACAAGTTTTCTTAGAAAAATTAAACATCAGAAAATTGCAAGAACTAGAAAAGTATCTAAATTGCTGACAATTTAGGTCATATTTTGAATTATAAATTCATTAAATATGTATATAAAAAGGGAGTAAATGTTTAAACCTTATATTTATTGTTAAATATTATTTATACAATGGTAATTAGTGTTTTTTGTTACTATTTTCCTTTTACTGTGTACTTGGAATATGTTTTTGTAGGATCATATGGTTCCCATCTAGATGCTGGAAATATGTGCTTGTTCCTTTCATACCAAGACCTGGAAATAAAATCAACAATTATATTTTGTTTTTTATTTTATTTTTAATTCCAAAACATTGTCTTAAGAACCATGTCAGATGCCCCATGGTTTGTCACTTATGACGAGCTACATGATAATTTGCAAATAAGAACCTTCAACAATGTACACAGTCATACAAGAAGAGGCTTATTCATCACCCGAATGACCTAGCTTGCCAACTAATAAAAACAAAAAGCAAGACATGGTTGAAACCCTGTGTAATACTAGAAACCGACTAGACTTAAGCTGGGGATACACATGCTCGTAGTTTGCACACTAGCATACCAACTCCTTGCACGTGCCAGCTACTGTCATGTGTATACGCTAACTGGCATGCCTGTAATACTGGCATGCATGCAGCTAGCAGATTTGATTTACTTGCATGCCCGTTGAGGGACGCCGGGTGCTGCTAACCTGGCACATGTGAACAGACGCGACAGCTACGGGAATGCCAGTAGCCGACTCGTTGTGGCCGTAGGCGCAGGTTTTTCGTTTTGATTTCGGAGGTCAAGTTTTTCAAGTATTTTTTTTGGTTTTCGTATTTAACATGGCACGATGGGGAGATGAGAAAACTATACAGTTCATTAATTTGTACAGAGAATACGAATGTCTTTGAAAGCCGACTAGCTCGCTTTACAAAAACAAAATGGCACGTGCCAATGCCTACAGCAAAATACAAGAAGAATTAATCTAAATTAAACGCTAGTAACAACATGATTTTGTTTAATTCACTTCGATTGATATTCATTTTTGGCGCGCAAGAATAGGTAGGTAAAAGTGACTCTCACGCACTGCCCTGTGTATACGCGATGGTAATACTGGCATGCAAGTTGTGCCCTTGCATGCCAGTATTACCATAGTTTTACTTGCAAATGTATGCCAGTAACTTGCATGCCAGCTACTTTCCCTATTTACTGGCATGTGTATCCCCAGCCTTAGTTAATGTGGCGGGAGTAGATATCTCTAATGGGAGATACACTAAGGAAAAGACATCAAATTTGCTTATAGTCTATGACTGATTGCAGATCTTGAACAAAAAAAAAATTACTTACCTCAGAAGAACTTTGCCGGCATGCGAGTCTTGTTTTTCTTGAGTAGCATCATTAACTAATCTTACATCATCTGATGCATCAAATTGGAATAAAGGGCCACTTTTGCCACGAGCCTAGATGAAAATTATTAAATAATATTATATACATCATAATTTACTATAACTTACTTGTGACCGGTAATAGCTAAAAACTTACTTTTGTGACAATGAAATCGTAGAATGTATAATGATGTGGTAATATTAAATCCTCCTTGACATACATAAGCTGATCTGCTGAAACAGTTTTCAGTTCACTAAATTCAGGCCTCAGATTATCGAGGCATCTTTGCAGAAATTGATAAATGGAATTGCCTATGGAAATAAAGTATGTTACTTTATTAGTTCACAAACTAATATTATAAAAATAAATAAATAAATTATGATATTAATTCAATAGTTTTTGTATATGCAACCACATCTGGTAAAATTGGTTAACAGATTTTAATGTAATTTGACACAGACAGTTAATTAGTAAGATATCCCTTACGGATGTCTCTGTAAAAAGCATGGAATATAATTCTAAAGTACATGTTACTGTCTCTGAATGGAAAAATTGGTTTCCCATACAAACCCCCAACCCTCATATCACCATCTTAAAGTATGATTTCTGGAATTCAAACTATCCTATGTATTTTTCTAGGACTCAAATTATCTCTACCAAATTTCATCTAAATTGGTTCAGTGAATCAAGAGGTCACATACATGACAGACAGCAGTTAAATTAATTCATTTAGATTCTACCCATATATTATTATGTCACAAAATACACACGGTAGCTGAGAATTATAATTTTTAAAGCAGTGACAAACAAACAATGCTTTTTATCTCAGTAAATGAATTCCTGGAGATTCACTAGTAGTAATGCAGAAATTTTACCTTTCTTTAGAGTAACATTTCTTCTATGTCCTGATCCATCCCAATAACTGAATGTGACAGTAATAGGTTCATCTTTTAGACTTGCCTGAGTCATTACCCACTCTAATCTCAGTTCTTCACGCAATTTCAGATCAGCTTCTTCCCGTTCTCTGTCTGGTAAAAATGAGGTATCAACATCTGGATTTTTTTTTATCTTTTTTAAAATCTGAAATAGATGGTATCACATGGAATATAATCCAATATCATCATCAATATTTGAGATAATAATAAAAATTGGTAGCCAATAAAATTAATGGATGAAAGTTGCATAAATTAAAATTACTGTTAATAGAGAAATGAGGCATAAATAATATTGTAACTAGAATGGTGTGTAAAATTTATAATCATAAATAAAGTAAGAAAAGATCAGCATTTACAGGTTCCTCAGGCTTTTCTTTCCAACTTGGTTCAGGTTTCTCATCAGCAGATTCTTCATCCTCTTCTTCATTTAAATCAAATGACAGTGCTTGAATCTGTACAGTACATAATAAAACATATAGACTAGATTCACACAGCATTGTGTAATGCTATGTGTAGCATTACACTTTATGCTGCAAAACTTGCAGTAGCAAATCTGGATTATAAAAAAGTATTCAAAGAAACTGTTCATACAAGAATGCGCAGTACATTGCAATAAACCCCTGTTCTTATTCCCCATTGCAATAAACCCCCTCCATAATAACAATTTTTATTAATAAATAATTATTAATGTGAAACTTCATTACATCATCACAAAGTTTTTCGTTCATGTTTAGCATGTTGTATTTAATTTTTATTGTTATTTATAAAATTCAGACCTTATCAGCAAGCATCACTGACTCAATGGTAGAAAGCACTCTTAATATGCGGGCGGCCCGAGCCCGAGCACAGACCTTTTTGTATTATTGATATAAAGTTTCACTTGCATCATGGTTACATGAAACCACACAAATTTTTATATTGTTATATGTATACAGTGATCTACCAACCAACCTGACGCTTTTGTTTGTTTTTTTGAGCTTGCTTGGCTTCAATTTCTTTCTGCCTTTCCTTCTCCTTTTCAGCTTTTTTTTGTGCTAATTTTTTCTCTCTTTCTCTTACTATATGTTCCTGCTTTGCTTTCATTTCATCCAGAGTGACAAGTCCAATAGTAGAACTTTTAAGTTGTTGTTCTACTGCATCATAATGAGTAGCAAATTTATTTTCTATGTTCTCTATTTTCAAGTCTTCTTCAATTTTCTTTTTACGTAGCTCTATTTCTTGTTGCGCTTTTTCACGCTTCTTCATAAGATGCATGGCTCTCCCAGCCTCAGAGGCAGCTCCTTTGTAATGAGCCATTTTCTTTTAAATAATTAAATCAATCTGAATTTCTATTATGTTCCTGTAACCTACAGTTTGGTTTATCCAAAAATTTTCAAATACTTTTAGCCACTATGTAGGTTTCTTTCAAATACAAAACAGACTTGCTTTGAATCATTTGATCAACTCTTAATTGTTTTTCTCCTTCTCCAGGCTTTTATTTACCAGGCGATTAGAAATACTGAAGTGGTAAAGCTTCAAAGAGTATGGTGTAAAGCTTGCATGACAGTGTGACCGTTTTAAAAAAAAGGTGATCTACTTTTTTTTTTTAATTATTTATTCATGACCTGGATACAGAGTCCTTCAGTCGAATACATTGTGGGTTACAAAATATTTTTAAATTAAAACTTAAGTAGATAAGTGTCCTTCAAAGGAGAGCAAGAATTGCAATACTTAAAATTACAAAAAATAACATTAGTTTTTTAAATTTTCAAATTTTGGTGTAAATGCTAATAATAATAAAGTTATATTTAAATGTAATTACAATCTAAGCAGTACAAATCAATTAAAACAGAAATATTTACACTTACAAAAAAATGGTTGCCTGTAAAGTCGGTTTTACGGGCGAAGATTTTACGTGACAACGTCTTTTTCTCGGTAGAATATTTATTGATATGAATATAATTAAATTGCACAATAGGAACAAGGAATTGAATGAAAATAAGAATTGCACAAATTTTAACTATAGAAATATATTTTGTTTACTAAAACATTGTACATGTAAACTTAAACTTAACACGAGAGACTCATCGTAACGTTACCGAGCGTTACACTTTTTCATAAGTGACTCCCAGCCGCAACCTAATTTAAGACGTTGTCACGTCAAAATAGTTACAATGTATTTAACCTTAAACTAAATATCCTGTACAGTATTTTCTATTAATTTAAACAGTGGTTTATAAAAGTCTGAATTGTTTAGTAATTCCTGAACGTGGCGGGGGAAACTGTTTTGACTTTGCTCACAGATGTCACTGATGTCATTGATGAAGATGAGTTTCGGAAAAAAGGGCGCGAACACTCAAACTGTTGTGAGGGAAATCCTTAACTAATTTAAATATTACTTTCTAAGTAGCCCTTTTTCTATTATTTTGTACTTAAGTTATTATTAGTAGTCTCTAATTTAATAAGTGATGAACGAAGATAGTGGCGGCAGGCATTCTGCCGCCAAACGTAAACTTATAGGTGAAGAAGATTCTCCTCCACTCAAAATGGCGGCAAATTTTATACACAATAAAAGGGGTTTATTTAAAGATTATGTCCATTTGTACACAGAGGACAATAAAAAAGAGTATCCCATATTGATTTCATCTGTAACACCCGGTACCAAGTTTGACCTGATGAAAACAAATTCAATTTTAAAATCTTGCTCAGGTTTACTTTTTGTAAAAGCCATCGGCAATTTTCTAATTAAAGCTCTCTTTAGTAATAAGAAAGATGCCAATGCCTTCATACTTTCGAAGAGCTTACTACAAAATCAGCAGTGGCAAGCAAAGATCCCATATGACCACCTGGAGAGCTTGGGTGTAATAAAAGTGCCTACTGAGTTGTCAGAGGAAGATTTATTGACCAATTTGAAGTCCAGCAGTGAAGTAATAGGAGTAAAACGCTTCATGAGAAAAAACAGTGATGGCTCCTTCTCTCCAACTCCAACTGTTTTAGTTACATTCTTGAGCTCAATACGACCAGATCATCTTACATATGATCATATTTGGTTTGATGTGAAGGAATATATTAGACCAATCAAACAATGTTTCGTCTGTTACAAATTTGGACATGGTCGTGGTTCTTGCAAGAGTCCACAGGTCTGCTCTATCTGCTCAGGCAATCACTTTTTTAAGGACTGCAACAACAAAGAAAATACTAAATGTAGTAACTGTTCCGGACCTCATATGGCAGTAAGCAATTTATGTCCAGTTAAAAGTGCCAAAAACCAAGAGTTGAAGGACAAAATTAGTGGGAAGATAACATATGCAAAGGTCGCTGGAAAGGTAAAGTCTACCTATAGAGAAGATCCAGGTTCAACATCGGACCCTCTAGCTTCACCACCAAGACTCAAGAATTTAAAATTATTGAATGTTCCCCAAAAAAGAGTATTATATACAGATATAATTAATTCAGATGAAGTGTTAAATGTTCTTACTAAAACTCTTGTTGATTTAAAACTAAAGCAAAACGGAGATGCTATTTCTTCAAAAGTCATAAAAGAGTTGCTTATTACAAACTTTTCAGCATAACTTTTATGGATAATAATTCTAGAATTGGATACCTTAATATCATTCACTGGAACTGCCGTAGCATTGGACCAAAACTGAATCAGTTTAACTATTTCATTACTTCACAAACAGCTGATATTGATATAATTTTACTTAATGAGACTTGGTTGAATTCATCCAAGTCATTTAAGTTACCTGGATTCAAGGTTATACGTCGTGATTCTGATTGCGCCCATGGAGGTGTGGCACTGGCTATAAAAGATAAATATATTTATAAATTAATTAACACTCCATCCAACTATCACTTTCAAAACTTATTGGTCTCTGTAAAAGTTGGCTCTATTTATGTTGATATTCTTTCTGTATATATACCTCCTCCTCCTAATGGGAGATTTAAATTAAATATGCTTTCACATTCTTTTACTTGCATAAAGAATAGGAATTATTTGATCATCGGAGATTTCAATGCTCACCAAACGGCTTGGGGCTCCAGATTTAATGATAGAAGAGGTAATATAATTTATAATTTTGCAGATGAACATAACCTAGTTTGCCTGAATGACTACACTATTACCACTGTTGCTCCGTATGGTCAGAATGGTAATGTATTAGACTTGGCTTTCGCATCATCTACGGTGAGTTCTAGTTGTTCTTTTTCTGTGCATGATGATCCTTTGAGCAGCAACCACTTTCCTGTTTTCATAACTGTTTTATATAATGTTTCTTTAAATATTGATAACGAAGCCTTGTCGGCAAGTAATACCACTCCTTTGTCTGATAACATAGGATTGTCGGGTATGAACTTCCATAAAATAGACTGGTCAAAGTTTTCCCGGCTCTGCGATGATAGTTTTTCCACTTTTTCTTTAGATTTTGACCCCCTAAATAGTTATAATTCATTTACTAAAACGTTAAGTAACGTGTTGTTGACATTTTCTAAGAAGAATGATTGTTGCCATACCAAAAATATCAAACGCAAGGCTATTATTTGGTGGAATGACAAATGTTCTAAAGCTGTTAATGAATCTAAACTTGCCTTAAAATCTTATAGAAAGTACCCCACTTTGGAAAATTACATTCTCTTTAAAAGATTTGACGCTAAAAAGAAAAGAATATTATCGGAACAAAAACTTTTAAGTTGGGCCAATCTATGTAACTCTTTTAACAGAAAAACACCTGTAAAGCTAATATGGGATTACGTAAAGAGATTTAAGTTTGCCAAGTTAGGCTTTAGCGCGAAAACACGTTTCTTCGACAATTCTTCAAATGCTTCTGCTTATTTAGATAAATTAGGGTCCCAAGTTTGTGGAACCGTCCCTAACAATTTAGATTCATTATTTTTGTCTGTAGGTTCTGAATCTGCTAAATGCATTCGTGATCCTTTTGAATTTTTTGAGTTACAAGCGTCTCTAGATAAGAAAAAGGACACCTCACCTGGTCCTGATTATATCCCCTATTCTGTTATTAAAAATCTACCTAAAAATGTTAAACTTATTCTTTTAAATATTTATAATCAATTGTGGTCACATAATAAGATTCCTCCAATCTGGAAAAGGCAGTTTGTTGTTCCCATTCTAAAACCTAACAAGGATTGTAATAGTTTAGATGCATATAGGCCTATTTCATTAACTTCATGTTTTGCTAAACTATTTGAAACTATGTTAAAGAACCGCTTAGAATGGTTCATTGAACACAATTCACTTATTCCAGATTATCAATTTGGGTTTCGTAAAGGTAAAAGTACTATGTATAACTTAGGTTGCTTATTGGGTGATATTCAAAATAACCTTAATAAAAATAAAATTACTCTAGCTGTTTTTTAGACTTAAAAGGTGCTTTTGATAACATTAAACATGAGTATTTAATTGAAAGCTTACAAACTCTTGGTATTCCTGGATCTGTTTTATCATGGATATTCAATTTTCTGAATGGTCGTACAATATCTCTTAAGGTTAGTAATAAATTGTATGGTTCAAGAACTTCTTTTAAAGGTACGCCACAGGGTTCAGTAATTTCTCCTCTTATTTTTATCCTATGTCTTGTGAATTTTATGAAGCATATTCCAGGCTCTATAAAATATTCTTTTTATGCGGATGATCTTGTACTATATTTAGATTGTGATGATCTTTCACTAGGAGAACGTATTATGAATAGTTGTCTTGCTTATTTAAGTAATTACCTTATTGATCGCCTTGAGCTTGATGTAAATGTACAAAAAAGTTCAGTTATGGTCTTTGCGTATAGTTGTCCAGTTAGTCCTCGATTATTTTATAATAATGCTTTAATTCCCTTTAAGACAACTGAAATGTATTTAGGTGTTATGCTTGATTCAGAATTGTCTTGGGGTCCTCATATTAATTATATAAGTAAAAAAGCAGAGTTGCGTCTAAACATCTTGAGATCTTTAGTTGGGGTAAGTTGGGGTTCTGATCCAAAAATCTTAAAAAATTTATATATTTCTTTGGTTCGTAGCCAATTTGACTACGGATGTATGTTTTATGCTGAAGCATCTAAACAGTTGCTTCGTAAACTAGACATTTTACAAAATAAAGCTTTACGCGTTATCACTGGGGCCATGATGTCGTCCCCTATAAATTCTTTAGAAGTTGAATCTGGAGTGCCGCCTTTATTCATTAGAAGAAGCTATTTAACCGAAAAGTTTTGTTTAAATTTAGTTAGTCATGATAACGTTATAGTCTGTCGTTACTTGCAAGACTATGATATTCCAGATTTTAATAGTATTCCCTTGCCAGCTTCTCCTAATAT